CAGATCCTTTTCCTGGGCCGTAAACAATGCGTCAAACACGCTCGTTACTCACGCGGTGTTCCCACCAGATGTGAGCCAAACTTCAAAGGCAGCGATGGTCGAACGTAACTAGCCTCTTCATGTCCGCCGATCTTAGGGGCCATGTTTCGCAACCGTACAGTAGGGTTGAACGTACCGCTGCATTTCTACACTCTACCCTTCAGGGTGAGAGTGATGTCGCGCCGGCGCCATAAGTGGCCAAGGTTAGCAAAAGCACCTCGAGCTTTTGCTATACGGTTCGTGATCTCATCTTCTATCCCACGGGCGCTGATACAACTTCCCAGCTAGTTGAATTTTCGAACGACTTCTAGCTGATCCCCACCAACGGTCAGCGAAGGAGGCGTTCCAGACCAATCTTGGATGAACGCTTTGCACTTCGATGGCGCAAAGCAAAGCCCGAAGCGGCTGACAGCCAGTGCTAATCTGTCCAGTGCCGTTTGGCACGTCTGAGAGCTGTCGCAGATTAGAGAAATATCGTCAGCATACTCCAAGTCAAGAAGTCATTCTTCTGGGAGTAGCTCTACACCTAAGTCGTGTCCTGTGATTGCGGTCTCCATGACTTCGTCAACAGCGAACTTGAAGAGGAAAGGTGACAGCGGGCATCCTTGTCCCACACCGCTGTAGATATTGAAGAGCGACGACAGCTTGCCTTATGCCCTAACTCTGCCTGAGCTATGCGTGTATAATGACCGGATAATATTTGCATATTTCTCAGGTACGCCTTTCCTCAGTAGTTCCAAAGTGCACGTCTATCCACCAAATCGAATGCACCTTTGATATCGAGGAACACGACAACAGTGGGCCGCCAATATGTGTGACGGTGCTCCAACAGGTGACGCAAAGTGAAGATGTAGTCAATGCAGCCACGACCTCGACGAAACCCGGCTTGCTCTTCACGAGTATGGCTTTCATGAGTGCCAGTCAGTCTTTGAAGGATGACAGAGGAAGCAATTTGGAGGCGACGGAGATCACACTGATTCCTCTGTGGCTGCCGCAATGCGATCGTGAGCCTTCCTTGAAAATTGGGACTATGACAGGCCGGCTCCAGTCGGTTGCGACAGTTTCCTGCTCCCAACGTTTCACTAGTAACTCATGTAAATCGTCCACAAGAGTGGGCTTACCGAATTCGAAGAGTGCTGGAAGAAGGTCATCCGGTCCCGGGACTTTATTTAACTTCAACAGTCCGATCTCACGTTCGACTTCTAAGCGAGATGGTGGATCCAAGGGGACAGCCGATGGAGCAGGGCGATCAGTGTCCGGCGAGAAATCTAACAATTCCAACCGATTAGATTGCCTTTCCAAGTGCTTGGCCCAATGCTCTAGTCGTTTTGACAAGTTAAGGATAGGCTGTCCACTCTCGTTGCACTAACCCCAGGTCTCCTGCTACCCGTTTCCCGTACCAGACGGAATTACTTACGATGGCGTTACCAAGGGCAGCGGCCATTTCCATCTCTGAAGCACGATGAGACCACCAGGATTCGCGGTCTCTCTTCAGGCTAGCACGGAGTTTTGCCCGGAGCTCTTTGTGAGTTTCATTGTGTTCGCTTCCAGCCGGAATATGCCGGCGAGCATCGATAAGTTGCAGAGACTGCAAAGAGATCCAATGTCCATGTTGGCGATTAGACATACCACATGAGGATTTGCCTGCTGCTAGTATGGTCTGGCGCATGAGACCAGTGAGCTACAATTGCATCCAGTGAGCGCTTATTCAACTCACATGACAGCCTACTTTGATAGTCATTCGGAACAGCTGGCTTGGCGAGTTGGCTGGTGTCAGCGCCGTTACGACGTCTTCGTGGGCGTCCGCCAAAGCACATCCGCAGGTCAGCACATACAAGTGCATGGTCGGTGTCTACACATGTGATCTAAATCGAGCGACAGTTCTGGACGCAACATCTCCATCGGTAACTTATCGCAATGTGATCGATTTACGTCCATAGCTGGTTCGAGGCTAATGGGCGCCAAGTCACCCTCCGGCGGGTGCTGTGTCGAAAATTAGTGCCCGCAAGAAATAAGCGAGCATCCTCACACAAATGAAGCAACTACTCACCGTTATCATTACGCGAGCCTACACCATGTTGGACGCCCAGATGCAGTTCATCAGTGGATAATTTGCCAACTTGAGCGTTCAGATCCCCCGTCAGCACAACTGTGTCCGTGTTTCTTCTGTGGCGAAGGAGCTCGTTCAATTGACGATAGAAGTCGTCTTTTACCGAGTCATCGCTACAGTGTGTGGGTGGATAGGCATTGCTTCCCCAAATTCATATCTCAGACACTGCCACCGATATGATATTTTATTCTCTGCACAACTTATTGCCTGCTATTCCTGGTTTATCACTCCGTTCTGAGTGTCTTATGTGAGCTGTGGCGTTTCGCACCTTCATTCGAAGGCCATCCGGTATAGGTAAAGCTTTTTGCGCTCCAAGGCGTAGGTGTCAACGAACAGCCGGTGGACAACGTTTCGCTTTTGATCAAAATGCTTCGTCAAGCCAAGTGGGTGATAGGGTTACAATTATTGCGAACTAGAACGATAATCAGGACTAGAGTGGAGCTCCAGCAGACGGTTCAGGGACAGTTAACGAAGGTATTTTGGATTTATTTTTCGCTTATTGCAGCTGTGAAAATACTCGGACTGCAGATTTATGTATTAAAACGATAAGTTCATTCTTTTGACGGTATATCTATTAAGTGTATTTTTTACTAACCTTTTTCGACAACCCGCCAGATCACCCAAATGGGGTTGCAAAGTGCTTCTTTGCTCGTATAAAGTCCTTGTTCATTATCATCAAAACACACCTACACCCATTACTGAGAGGAAAGTCCCTGTGATGACTACGTGCAGTGAACCAGTTGGGACTTATTATTAAGTAGACAAACAGAGCGAATACCCACTCATGGCGGTACGACACTAGGCCGTGTCGACGACTTCAACGAGCTTCGCACCGAACAGCCGACCAGATATGGGACACAGGTGCGATGTGAGTGGCTGGTAAACTCAGCTGAGCTTCGATTAAGTCAGTGATTCTCAACGTTTTTGAGGCTGTCACCCACAGATCGGGTTCATTACAAAAATTTGCCCTTCAAAACCTTACTTGAAACAGTTACTTACCTAATAACTATTGCATTTTTTACTTTATATTACGGAAAATCAATACTATTTTCATTACTTTCTACCATTCAAAGAAAGAAAAGACCGACATTTGAGCAATATTTCAATCATCAAAACTTGATGTACATTAATCAGACAGTTGAAACTGACTGGATCTATTACGTTTTATATATTTGGTTCAGTTTCCTTTAATGCACCTCGTAAGTTGTGCTTCAAGTTCATTCATTTCCTTGCTTTGGTATATGCTCCCTGAGTAACATGAACAGATGTCAGTGGTTCCTCATTTATTTAAACATCCCTTCCAAATCCGTCGTGTAGGACAGTTTCCTTCCGCCACTCTCTATCAATACACCCTAAACACTAACCGCCTGTTTCGCCCCTTCTACCTTGTAAACATTCGGTCGCACTTTCCTTATCGGCTCCTACCTTAGTGTCCACTTAAATCTAACTCTACCCAGTTAACAACTGCTGACTCAAAAGATCAGCGATTTACAAACGAAGCGATAGAGACACCATCTAGGTGCGCTGTTTTGTAAACTTGTACTCGTATTTTAAGTAATGAAATTTTTATTAGATTTTGTTTAATTCACTAACCACTCACTAATTATTAGTCAGTAGTGTCTAAACAATAGTGATTAGATAGTTAGTTACTCGTCTTGATAAAAACGATTTGTTATTAATTTTGTTCAAGAACAGATTGATGACCGAATCCTCGTGCTTATATTAACCTATCGTAAAATATCATTTTACCCCTTTGGAGGTAATTACCCGCAGGATGAGAATCACTGGACTAAGAAACGAGGACCATGCCCTGAAGCATACAAACGGCCAATTATGTTAAACCGATGCAAGCCAGTCAACCTGAATGCGTTCACCTTGGTTGAGACCGAGATACTGAAAATGGAGAGATCACAGTTTGCATAATCAGAAAATATGATTGACATGCAAACAGAACCGTCCATTTTCATAGAACACACACCGTTTACAGATTCCTGACTTTTGATTTCACGGTTGGATTGGGTCTCAGGCAGAGGAAACCGTAATCACTAGCACCACAGTCAAAGCAGTACAACACTTTTCATCTGTAAGGTGCCACTTGCAGTGACACTGTCCTGTAAGGTCGTTAACCTACTTATAACTCGGTTATCGCGATAATCGTCCCAGTTTGCCATAAATATTACATCAAGCACCCACTGATTCCGTTGGCCTGATGAAGCATTTCTATAAAGTGCAAAACCTGCACACTAACCATACTAACCGGGTGTTTTAAATCACTTCTGAAATCAAGTTCACGATCGGTTCCAAGCATATTTCAAGAAGTTGAGTCAAGTATTACATTTAGCTAATCATCCTTGTCTCCTTCAGTGGCCCCTGAGCCCTTGACATCGATTGAGGTTGGCAACTTTTTCAATGATTGCTCGCGATAAGGTGGCTAATCTGTTCCATTGCACTCAGGTTCTCTTGCAGCAATTTGAAAAAAGTAAGCTTATTCTGTTCGGATTTCCCCACTCGATGAAATGCCTGTGTTAAGAATGCAACCGATGCACGGCAATCTTATACAGAAGTTGGTATGGACCGTCAGTCATACACACTGCAACAGTCCATGTGATAAGCAAGCATTCCGCTGTAGTATGGCTGGCATCAGTGAGTTCTCACTATGCTAGCCGCGTAATGAGTACCAATTTGATAAAAAGCTTTTATTCTGCTGACTCCACGTGCATGGTGCAAAAGTATTTTTTAATCGAAAATTAGAAGCAAATGATAAGTTCACGACGAGTTATGTAAAGGAACAGCGAACTGATTTTCTCCTGGGTTTTGCTGCGAACAGATGGATATTCCGACGAAGTTGTTGTTATCCGCGACACACCACGTGGATATTGACTGTCGTAGCCCCAACAACGAGTGCTTTCTCTGGGACGTTAGCATGAAGTTCACACTTTAATTCGCGTTCTTACTTTGCTGAATTTCTGTTGCATCTGTTCGTGCAAGATTCTTGCCCTTTCTTCGTACGGCAGTCTGGCGATGGCATCCCACTTTTCCAAATTGTTAAGCACCATGTCGACTATAATACTGACCTGAGGGAAGACTCGAACAATTGTGTTGTAACACGGTAAGCAAATGGCGCGAATAAATCCAACCTAAAGCAGGGGAATTACAGCGCATTTGTTTGTTAGTGTCACATTGCTTATCTGAAACGATAGCGTAAAAACAGCTAATAGTGTGAGGAAAACAAGGTCTGGTAGGCAGTCACTATTTTCGGTTGAAAATACGGTCCCTATCTAGTCCGCGCATAGTAAGGTGTATGGAAATCCATAACTTTGCGCCAACCCCACCGCAGAGCAACTAATCAAACTGGATTTAACAACATAGATCATGACCGGTGACTGGCTGTAAACTACGTTTGGGTGAAAGTTCCACTGTCTATCCTTAGGCGGGACGAAATGAAGGATACAACCAATGACACGGAACGATACTGCAATTGTACATATTTTAGATACGGCGCGAGTAGTCGAAATGACCCTAGCCCGGCTGAACGCGGATAGGTTCAAAGAATGAGATAGGTATTTGCAGTTCATTGAGCGATCTCACGCATAGACAAATACCTAATAGCATGCATTTTACCACTCTGACTGACAATAGAGCGCTGAAAACAGTCAATCTTCACATTACTCTGGCAAATTCTTCTGACACAATAACAAAGCTTTGGAGAAAATCGCTCGCGACATTTCGCATGACATCCAGCACAGTAGTGACACATATTGTTTACTTATCAGTCTACTGATTCATTTGCAAATAGTGGGGTGGCTTTTAACAAAGTCATTTTCGGTAAGTCGTTCTTAGCTGCTCTGTGGTACGCGGAAGTATTCTCATTGCGTTCTGTCATTACTCCGTAGAGAATGGATCACTGAACCAAAAAGACGGTATTGGCCCTTCGCAAGTTGAGCCACGAAATTCCCTTACGGCTGATGATATGTGTTTTCAAAATCATATTGTTGTGCCTCTACACTTACATCTATTGTGTTAAACGAGTTGTACTCAGGTCGTCTTGGTGTAGAAAAGCAACCTTTGCCTAGACTGACCTACTGGTATCTAGAGCTGAATAATGATAAAATTCGCACAATAAAGAACTGCGCAAACTGCTCACACAAGATTCAATACAATCCACAAAATGGACACCCGGATCCGTCATGTGAGTCACGGCAACTTTTGTACAAATCTATTCACTGACCATAATCAATTCATCTTCGGGTTGATCAGAAGTATACTTTATCACGTCTAATACCTCAGACCTCACCATCACCGCTACCCGCATGGCATTCAGTCTCGAAAGAGTACCATGTACCTAGGTCCTAGACAATGGTAATCATTTTGCTGTCCAACATGTGAATGAGTGGACTAAATGGGTTTGTGTCCGCCACCTATATATTTCTTCTAGGCATCCACAATTCAATCGTGCTGCAAAAAACTTTGTGCGAGCTCCTAAATGTATAATCTTTTCCCTCATGCCATACAGGAAAGTTGCTTATTTGACTACCCGAGATAACCCTACAAATATGTTCAAAAACCGTGCCTTGAGGATAGACATTTTATGCTTTGAATCCGCCGAGGTTGCTTACCCCCGTGGAATCCTTTTCAACTAACTTGTTTCCATCATATGAGGAATACTTGCTTTATCGTACAGTTCTATCCTATACTTCTTATGATAATCTTAATTGTACATGAGTTTAACGGTTCTCTGTTTGAGTTCATTTCAGAGACACAATAGACGAAGGTTTTTCTGAAAGCGTACCATAGCAATCACGGGAATCTCAAAGACTTGAGAACAAAAGGAGCTGTCATCACAAACATCATTATTATCATCACCAAAAAGCGCAGCACATCATTTATCTGAACATATGCTTCGCTGCCACACAACCACGGTAGCCTAAAGAATGAAAGATAATAAGGGAGAGAAGGAGGACCTACCGTAAAATCCTAATACCCTAAACAAACATTCGTAGTCATGGTGCAACATCCTGTGCCAACAACGTGTTGGCTATCATGCAAAGACAATGCAACATCAACCGGACGGCTTCCTTGCGGCTTTCACTGTCTCGTGTCATAATCAGCCATTACCTCACAGATAACTCAGTACCCAACACACTTTAAACAAGCAACCTTGCTATAAGATGATGGCAAACGCACCACTGGTGCACACGGCTAGTCATATCCTGTAACGTCTCCATCGAAGCACGGGGTGCCTCACGTGGACTACAGCCTGGAAGACAAGGCGGACCAATGACACATTTAATTTGGTCCTCAGTGATTTCATTTCCCGCGCCTGGTGCCACCCAACATCTTGCAGACATAGCAATGCCTTCTTCGGTTAGCAGTAACCGCACATACATATCACGTTCTAATGCCAAGGCAATTCATACAGTGCCATTGGTGGATCCAGGGAACTAGCCTGGTTAGCACTGCCTAGCACTCCCCTACGCATATCATCCTTGCCGACAAGCTGGAACCTCCCGACATCAGCAATGCTTCCAGGCAGTGATGATCAAAGACTTGAAAGCGCCGCAGCTACTCAACTCGAATGGGCTAAGTCCCAAACATATATAATATGACGGTGCTCACTGTGGTCTTGTGAACACGGTCTTTCGGACTGGGACAACCCTTTTTGACGCCATAGATGTCGCAAATCCGAAAAAGCAGTTCTAGCTTTTGCAATACGAGAACTGACATCGTTGCTGATGCAGCCGCCAAGGAAAGTGAATCCATCAACTAATTCTAGCCCCTCCTTACTAAGGATCAATGGATCGTCAACTGGCTAATGGTCCTGGAACGACGCTTTGCAATTTGTAGGTGCGAAGCGCATTCCAAATAATACGACCACTCTAGAAAGCTTAATCAGGGATAATTGTGTCCCCCCCCCCACATTGATAAACAACGTTATCAGATGGGCCACATAATCAAGAGCAGCCAGCTTTCCACGAGGCAGCACCTCAACGCTTGCATCGTGAGGCTCCTCAAGAGGAAAATCCATGACGCAGTCCAAGATGTTGAACAAAAAACGGAGAAAATGGACGCTCATGATAAATGC